TGATGATGACGATGACGATGACGATGACGATGACGATGACGATGACGATGATGATGATGATGATGATGATGATGATGATGCTGATGCTGATGCTGATGTTGATGCTGATGTTGATGATGCTGATGATGATGATGATGGTGATGATGATGGATGATGAGGAGGAGGAGGAGGAGTTGGAGGAGGAGGAGGAGAAGGAGGAGGAGCAGGAGGAGGAGGAGGACGAGGATTATGATGAGGAGCGGCACTGGCCCGATGCTGCGCGCCATCAGCTTGCCCCCCTGCTCCTTCAGCTGCCCCCCATCCCGCTACGTGCTCTCGATTGTCCCCCCCCCCCACCCACTCCCACGCACACGCGCGCACGCGCATCCTTGTCTTCTCCCCGCGGAGGGCCGCCTCCAGCGCCCGCCGCGCACTCGGCGGCCGCCGCCGCGGTGGCGGGGGGGCAGTGGCACAGGCCCCGCCGTCAATCCCCCTCTGTCCCACTCCCGAGGGCGCCTGTGGCGGCGGCGACGGCGACGGCGACGACAGCGGGAGGCGATCCTCTTCGTCCGTCTCATCCCCATCCTTTCTCCCCCTTCCTCCTCATCCGCCTCCGCTTCCTCCTCTTCCTCCTCCTCCTCCGCCTCCTCCTCCCCGCGACAGCGTGGGGCGAGCCGCGTCGCCCGTCTCCTCCCCCTCTTTGCGAATCCTTCATTATCCTTCTCGTCGCTCCTCCTCACTCCCCCCGCCCCCTCGCCCTCCTCACTTTTTGTTCGCCCTGCCTTGCCAGAAGGCGCCCCGCCGAAGCCCGAGGAGGGCAAGCAGGTGCAGAACTTGTCTATCGATGCCATGGCCGCGAAATTCAAGGCTGCGATCGACGGCGCTGCGGAGCCGACCGACGACGACGGCGGCATCGAACGCGACGCGACGGAGGGCCCCAAGAAGGTTACGAAGGCCAAGAAGGTCATGAAGGCCAAGGCCATGAAGCGCCCCGCGGCCGCTCCCGCTTGCAAGAGGCCCGCCGCCGCCGCTCTGGACGGTCGCGCGAGCCTCGTTTTTCCTGGTGTGCCGAAGAAGAAATGCGAGCCAATGGTTTTCCGCGGCCATAGGGTACATCTCCCTTGCGGGCACCCGCTGCACGACGACGTGGGCGACGACGCTGGCGGCGGCGGCGCCGACGACGACGAGGTGCAACGTGGCTTGGGCGCCCCAGCTTGTCTGGGGCAGCGGTTGTACACAGACCTTGCAAAGGCCTCGTGGAGGGTGCTCCCTCCAGGGGGGCGCGTTGACAAGCCTTTCAGCTGGCGCGTCGACCCCAAGGAGTCCTGGAATAGGTTGGCGGCGTTCGTGCGCGCGCGATTCCACGAGCGCACGTCGGGAAGGTTCGGGAAAGTGCGCGCTCGGCGCACTCTCGCACTCGTTCTCTCTCCCAGTGAGAGAGAACCCTGCCCCTATACTATTGTGGCCCTCGCCCTGGGGCGCGGCGTAGGCCCAGACATTGCAACATTGAGCGTTCGATATTTGCTCGCGGTGGCACGCCCCGCAGCGGATAGCAAAACAACTCATCATCATCAACATCATCATCACCATCCTGCGGTGTCTCGCCCCGTGCTTATCATCCTGATCATCCTCCTGCGGTGCCACCCCCCCTCCCCCGAAACCCTCGTCGCGCCGAGGGCCGCGGCCGCCGCGGGCCGCCGCTGGCTTCCGAAGGGCCGCTGAGGGCCGATGGCCGCCGATCGGAATCTAGTGGCAGTCGGCCCAGCCCGCCGTCGTGCCTGGGCTGTGAGTCAGCGGCCTCTTGGAGGTTCGTCGGGGTATCGTGGGATCCTGCTCGATGGCCTCTTGGAGACAATTATTGACGCTTCGCGTATCCCCACCAGCCCACCCAGAAACGAATCTGGTCTGGGGGGGGGGGCGGGGAGGACCCTGACTCAAGAGTCTCGGGTGAGGCGCCGCTTCCCTTCTCCTTGTGTAATAAGGGGAGGGGCGCAACACACTGTGATCTTACATGCGAATATACACTGCCCTCAGGCCCTTGCCCGTTCTCTCTTACATGTGGTATGTCTTATTGCGTGATAGTGGTCAAGGCAACAATGGGCGCTCTTGGGGTGGCCCGCGAGACCTTTCCAGAGATTATCACGGCCCCAAGACGGACCAATATGGACTCAATGCACGCCTAGGAGGACCAACGCAGCCCCCAAAACTGTCCAAGAGCGCTCCAAAACGCTTGAGATGGCCCCAAGACGGCCCGACATGGTTCCACGATGTCCCACGAGCGCTCCAAGCGGCCCCCCACAGCGCGCCAAAATCCAACCAGCCCCTTTTTATGGCGTAAGTGGTCTAGATCGTTTCTTCTTCCCACCCACATTCTTCCCCATTCGGGGAGGGGTGTGTCCCTCCCCCTTACCCCCGTCGCCTGACCTGGGCGGGGGGGGGAGCGGGGGTCGCTGGTATTTGGAGCGTCCAAGGTGGCCCAAGACGGCTCGAAGAGCGCCTCAGGGAGCCAAATATGACTTCCAATATGGCTCGAGATATCCCAAGACGCTTCAAGGTGGCTCCGAATATGTTCCAAGAAGCCCCAAGTCCGCCCAAAGACGGTTCCAAGAGGTCAAGTGGCTTCCCAAGGAGGTCTCAACGAGGCCCAACTCCTCCAACAACCAAAAGACAATTAATGATGTTTGCCGTTTTGGCTTGTTCGTTTCCGACGACCATCCAAGGCCTCAAGATGGCTCCAATATGGCCCAAGAAGGCACCAATGTTGGCCCAAAAGGGCCACAACATTGCTGAAAGCAAGCACACGAGCACACCACGAGCGCCCCTAAGAGGGGACCATGAGGCGATGTTGGGTGTTCCCCAGGGGGGGGGGAAGGGGGGGCGCGATGTAAGGAACACATGGTTTTTCTTTGGTCGATATCTTCCGCTATGGCCCCAACAGGCGCCCATGCCCCAAGAGCCCCCCAAATGACCCCAATATGGCCCCCAAGAGGCGCCCCAAGAGCCCCCCCACCTCCCCCCACACGAGGCCCCAGGAGCGCCCCAGCCGAGACGCCCGAGAGCCTCTCTGGACCGCCAAGAGACCCCCAACACCCCCCAAGAGGCATCCAAAAGGCTTCCAGGAGACATCCGAGAGGTGTCCCAGATGCTTCTGGCTATTATGCTGGCCCTCGTCCTCAGCATCCTCCTCTTCCCCATCCTCATCCTCATCAGATTCCTCCTCATCCTTCTCCCCCTCCTCCTCCTCTTCCTCCCCTCCTCCCCCCCCCCTCCTCCTCCTCCTCCTCCTCCTCCTCCCCCTCCTCCTCCTATTCATCGTCCTTCTCCCCACTCCCTCATCCATCCATCCATCCAGCCTCCCCTTTCCCCTCATCCACCCTTCGCTCGGTTCGGTTGTCCCCATCTTTGCTCCCGCCATTCCCTGGTCACCTCAACTCGCCTGGGCTCTGTTTTGCAGGTCGTCGGGCCCGATGGCCAGTGACAGGCCAGCCTTTTGTGGCGCGCATGGCCACACCCCAAAAACAAACCTGCGGAGGCTGTTTTCCAAAAGCGTGAACAAACAACAAACCTGGAAGCCACAGCGCCCCGCCCCCCCCCATCCCCCCGCCCCCATCTCTACCCCGCCCCGCCCCACCCCGCGCCCACCACCCCCGTGTCAGGGGCGGTTCGGCCGCATTTTTTTTTCCTGGCACGCTGAACCTCGCAACTATTGGCTTTTGCTCGCTTTAATGGGGAAGGGGTGCACGGGGGATGGGGGAGTCGGGCGCGACCCTTGCGGCTCAGAGGCCGAGGCCCCCCCCCCCACTTCGATCGCGGCTGTCGAGTTTCTTGGGGCCCCCCCTCCAGCCCCGATAAGAAGACTGACCGCTCGGCGTGCATGGTGGCCTGCTCTCGGCCCCCAGGCGGGCTCCCCTTATAAGGTTCGCAGGAAACCCAGTCAGGGCCTTGCATGCAAAACAATGTGTTCCCCGTCTTCCCTCTCCCCCCCCTGCCGATCACTCCTCGTCGTTCCTCGGGTGCCGCGGGGACTTCGACGCTTAAGCCGCGGTGCGCACGGATCGCGGGGGGGGGGGGAATGGGGGCCCCCTAAATCGGTTTTCTTCTTAAGGGCTCTTTTGTCAGGCCAGGATTCTTGCGGGGGGGTTGGCGCCATGGCGATTGCTTTGGGATGGGCTGGTGCGGGTGCCCGAAGCTAGAAAAGTTATGAGCAGTTATGACAGTTAGAAGAACTTTTAAAAAGTGGTAAAAAGTTATGAAAAGTTATGAAAAATACAAAAACATATAAAGCTCGCGTAAGTGAGTTGTGCAAAAAAATGCAAAGCTAATTCTGGCAAGTTTTTATAACTCCTCAGAACCGAACTTATAATCTCACAAGACCCAAACTCACGAAGCACCTCCCGACCACCGGCGGACGGAAAACGGACTTTCGCTCCTACTGACACCCGGGACACCCGGGACACCGCGCGGCCCAACTGGGACACCTCCCAACCACCGGTGGACGGGAACGGACTTTCGCTCCTACTTCGGCCTAGCTACAGGAGGATCACGCGCAGCTTCGCCTCGCCCGCACGCACGACACGAACACGAAACCGAAACCGATTTCCCGGTGGGGGCTCTCCGTTTCACTGCGATCTCACCCCCCAACCTCCGATAAATCGACTGGGGAACCGACGTCCAGGCGCTGGGTTTGGATGGGACTTGGCCCCAGGGGGCCCGGCCTGCCGAGGTCCCCAAAGATCGACGTCGTCGCAAGCGTCGTCGTCCTCCTATTCCTCCTCGTCCGCCTCGCAAGCAAGCCCCCCCAGTCGAGGCTTCAGGGTGGCCGACCCTCCGGCCACGCTGATCTTCTCTCTTTTTGGGAGGGGCCAGCAGGGGGCGCGCTAGCTGGGGATCGGGGGCGAACGCGACCGTGTTGGCGAAGAGGCCATCTTCCCCGGCATTTCAGGAGGGCAACGCTTAAGCACGGCGACCGTTGAGTTTGACTTGTGGCAAGGTTGTCTTAAGCAGTCCGCCTGATGGGTCTATCAGTCTGATGGGCTACCTTGTAACACTCTGGAAGCTCGGGGCTGCAAGCACTCCCCCACCCTCCCTCCTTCGTCCCTTGTCCCTCCCTCAACCCCTCCCTCCCTCGTCAGCATCCGCGTCCCTCCCTCCCTCGTCCCTCCTGCCCCGTCCTTCTCCTCAAATCCGCCTGCTGCTGCTCCCCTCCTCGCCCTGCGCTTGCGGCTGGTCCCGTGGGTGGCCCAGTCGCCGAGGCAGAGCCAGCAGAACTCGTGGCCGCAGCCGCCCGCCTTCGAGCACGACATGTGGTTGCACCCCTGGTTCTTCTCTATGGGCTTGTGGCACTCGGGTTGACGGGGGTGCGCGCGGGGGCGGGGCGGAAGAGGAAGCGCTCGGCACGTCCCGCACGTCCCGTCCCTCCTGGGGCGCACTCGCGGCCACCGCTGGGCGCAGCTCGAAACGCTGGTCGGGGTGGGGTCCGGCGGACGAGTGTCCGAGAGGGGCCTGCAGACGGACGTGGAGCGAGACGGACGAGGGCGAGAGGCCGAGGGAAGAGGGGGCCTTTCTCTCCTGGGCTCCCCGGGGGCCCCCCGTCGCCGTGGCGGGATCCCGAGACCAGCGGGCGCCGCGGGGCGGATCTCACGACGGGAGGCTCTCTCTCTCTCTCGCTCTCTCGGCGTTTCCGGGGAGGCCGCTCCTGGGGCCCCCACGCCGTGGACACCTGGGCAAGGAGCAGCGTCGTCGGAGGTGGTTCGGGGGGGGGGTCGCTGGGAGCCAGATCTGGGCGTCGTTCGCCTCCTGGGCCTCCCAGAGGGCGCTCGTCGCCGCGGAGGGTGGAGGGAGGAGCTGTGGAGCGATTCTGGAGGGGGGAAGGGGAGATGGAGGGAGAATTGGATGAGTGGAGGAAGAGGACGAGGAGGAGGAGGAGGAGGAGGAGGAGGAGGAGGAGGAGGAGGAGGAGGAGGAGTGCGGGTAGTCTGAGGAGGAGGAGGAGGAGAAGGAGGAGGAAGAGGAAGAGGAGGAGGAGGAGGAAGAGGAGAAGTAGGAGCGACAGGAGGGCGGTTAGCCTGAGGAGGAGGAGGAGGAGGAGGAGGACGAAGAGGAGGAGGAGGAGGAGGAAGAGGAGAAGTACGAGCGACAGGAGGAGAAGGAAGAGGAAGGGGGCACGGAGGACGAGGATAGGAGGATGAGGAGGAGGAGGAGGAGGAGGAGGAGGAGGAGGAGGAGGAGGCGCGGGGGAGGACAAGCAGAAGGAGATAGGAGATAGGCTAAGATGTGCGAATCTGGAGAGGTATTCGAGGGTGGAGGTGAGGATGAGAAAGCGGCCTTGGGGCACTTCTTCGTGTTGGCCCTGATCCAGCTGATGTTCTCGGACTCGGCGCTGTTCTTCACGTTCCACATGTTGACGGTGCTGCAGTCGGCGGGGCGGTGAGCCTCCTCGCCGCACGCCCAGCACCAAACGTACTCACAACTGCAACGGATATCACACATGTCTACGCCCGCGTACTCGCACGCGTTCGAGCAACCGTTGGGGTTGGAGCACCACTTCACGGAGGGGTTGTCGTCCACGAAGGTGCGGAGGTGCCACTCGTCGTACTTGGCTCTCCTGGCTTCGTCGCAGAGTGTGCGGAAGATGTCCGACAGCACTATCTGGCTGCACTTGTGCTGCGGGCACCTGGCTGGCCCAGTGGTGGGGACGCCGCTCTGATGGCTAGGAGGGTGTCCCAGGAACGCCAGGGCAGATATTCTGCTCACGGCTGGTCCCGAGCCCCCCTTTTGCATGCATGCCCCGTCGCGCGTTTTCACTGCGTGGGCCCGTGGAGACCTCGACCGAACCCAAGACTCAGAGGAACAACAAATGGTATTACACATAAACTTTCGCAAATCCGCGCGGAACTCCTAGAAAGTATGCGTATGCCGTGTTCTGCTCTTCGATGTTTGCCGTGGGTCTTCTGGAGAGGGCTCCCATGGAGCCTAAGAGAGCGGCCTCCATCTCGAGGGCGTTCGGGTGGGGGGCGTCCAAGAGAGGATTCGCAAATCGTGGCCCGAGGATGTGCGCGGCCCAGGGGAGATCAGGGGACGCGTTTGAACAAGAAGAGGCGCCATGAAATCTGGGAAGGTGTCATGGTCCTGGCCATGATGTATCCCCTTCCCCGCCCATCGGCGAATCCGAAGGGTGAGTTCAGGGTGCACCCAGCTCCCTGGGGGCACAATGGGGGGTGCGGGCGAGGACCTCGACCGACGAGGACAGCGTCGTGCTCCCCAGGCCCCCAGCGGTGCCGATCGCATACCACCACACCCCGGCGCAACCGTATACCAGTATTTGTCACCGCCGAAACCCCGGCGCTCATACGGCCCCCGCCACGGCCGCCCCCCACCGCCTTTGGGCGTGGCTTAATGGGGGGGTCGCAAATGGGGGGGTCAGAAAAGGTCTCCTCTCGTGCCCCTTTCGGGCCCCTCCAGAGCCCCAGGGGGCTCGTTTAGGTACCGTTTGGGTACCTTTTCGGACCACCCTCGCCAACCCCCCATTTATGACCCCCCCATTACGCAGCGCCCAACGCCTCCTGTGCTTCGCGGCGCCGGGGCTCCGAGGCGCCGGGGTGGCCGGCTGGCCACGGACCCCTCCCAGGGGCGCGCTCGGGGGCCACGGCTCCGAGGCGAGGCGGGCAGCGGCGAGACGAGGGCCTCCCAAACCCGAGCGCGGAGGCCCGAGAGAAACGACGTCGGCCGAGAGCAAGCAGCACGCGCAGATCCTGCCTGCTCCCTGCACGGTCCATGGAGCCAGGCTTCTTCGACGACGTCGTCGAATCGTCGCGGGGCGATGACAGGCGTGATCTGGGAGGGGGCCGGTGCACGTCGCGCTGATCACGTCACGGGGGGGGGGGGGCGGAGGCCCGAGACGAGAGCAAAGCGTGCCTGTTTCGTTGGCGGCGCTGGCGAACGCGAGCGCGACTGCCAAGCCGACGACGGGCTGCGCCGGGCACTCCCCGGCCCGGCCTCAAAAACTCTTCCGCACGACACGTCTCCCGAGGGATGGTCGCCGCAGCTGCTGGACTCCGCTGGAGGCCCTGGTCAAGACGTGCCCCAGGGCACCTCGGGCAACGGGGGGCGAGTGGTCGGCAGCTGTCGCCGCACGACACGTCCCGAGGGACAGGGAGCGCGGCTCGGAGTCCGAACCGCCACCATGCCGGTGACGCGCCCGATTCTCAGACCTGGCCCCGACGCCAGGGTCTAGGGCCCCCCGCGGCCAACCTACCGGCATCTACCAACGACCACAGCGGCTGGCCAGGATCTGAGGGCGAATCCGGTTTTGGCGGCGGGTCCTCCCAGAAGGTCAACAAAAATCCAGACACCGACAACACACAAGCAAACAAAAGCAAAAGCATCCTCCCTGCCCGCCTCTTAGCTTGACTTAGAGAAAGAAAACGAACTGCACAAGCATAGGATTTGAAAGGTCCGCGTGGATTTCTTGGATCGGCGCGGGGGCCCCCCCCTCCCTCCCTGGGGCGGGGAGCTCGCCAGGAGCGAGGCTGGAGGCGCCGCTAGACAGACCACAGCGCCGATCCGAGGAATCCGCGCGGGCCTTCGACGGTGTGTGCAGATGTGCTGTTTCCCCTCCGACTGCTCGCAAGGCAGACCTGGTCAGGACGGCGGACCTGCCGTCGTTCACCTGAACGTGCAGGTACTCGCGCCAACAGTCCTCGCAGAAGCCGTGGCCGCACCCCAAGGACAGCATGTGCGGCTTCTCCTCGGGATGCGCCCGCGGGAAGCCGACTCGGGTCACCCGTCTCCGCACCTCGCGCCGCGCCCGTGTCTTGGCGCATCCTCGCGCCGCCCCTGGGCCGCGAAACGCGGCATCCTCGCGCACCTGCGGGGGTGGCCCGGCTCGGCCGGCCGGGTCCGCCTCCGAGGCCCGCCTGTGCTCCAAGAAGCGGGCCCCCAGGAACCGACGGGCGAAAGAACTGGCACCAGCAAAAATGCTGGACGCGACCTTCTCGCGGCGCGCCACACGCCTGGGAGGCCCCTCCCCTCAGAGTGTGCCCCCCGGACCCGTCCTGGGGCACCCCGCCCCCCCAAAAGCACCAACCCCGATCTGTCCGAGACGCGGCGCCCCCGGACGTCGCCGCACCTCCCCAGGGGCTGGCCTGGCCCCCAAAGGCCAGAGACCGGCCTCCCCAGGGCCCGCGATGGCGAGAGACCGGCCGTCCCGGACGTTTCGAGCCGCCCGATGTCCGGGAACGTCCCACGGAGGAAGCGGGGGCGGGCGATGACGACGCCGGCGGCGGCGGCCGCGGAGGCGGCGACGACGAGGAGCAGAGAGTCGGGTCGGACCCGGGGGCGTGGGGGGTGGGGGAATCAGCTCGCGTGCTGATTTTCCTGGCGCCTCCCGGCGCTGGGGGCGCTCATGCACCGAGGAAGGAGCCAGGCGGCGGGGCCGAAACCAGCTGCTTGCAGGAGATTTCGTGAGCCCCTCCCTTCCCTTTCCCCCCCCCGCCCCCTTCGCCCGTTCCGAGAGGGGAGGGAGGCCGAGCTCAGCTGGGGTCGTGGGCGCCCCCCTCCCCCACGCGCTCCGCCATGCAGATGCAGCACATGCTGGCGCCCTCGTCCTGCGGGCGCGGGAGGGGGAGACGAGAGAAAGGGGGCGAGGCAGGGCGAGAGGGAGGCGAGAGGTCAGGCGGGGTGAGGCGAGAGCTCGAAGAAGGCGAGGCGAGAGGCACGCAGAAGGTGGGTACAGAATGCGAGGTGAGACGAGAGGCGAGGCGTGACGAGAGGTGGGCAGGGTAGGACGAGATGTGGGCGAGGGGTGGGCGGGGTAAGGGGCGACGGAAGACGTGGGTTCGACCATGACTCCCGTGTTGCCCATCGGCTTTCAACGGTCTTCGGCTGGAACGGCCGCGGGGGCGCACGCACATCCGCACCGCGGCCGCCCCCATCGGCTAGGAGCAAGTGCGAGGCGTGGATGTATCAGATCCACCGCCTGGGGAACCGATGTCCTGGAGCCCCAGGGTGCGGTGGAGCCTGGGGAGGCTGCGGTCGCGACTTCTCTTCGCGCCCGGGAGAGCGAACAGGTAGCGATATCGGCTACACGCATGACCCAGGCGTGCTCGCGTCGTAAAACAAATCCAGACGGCAAATGTTTGGCAAATTTCGGCCTCCAGGGGCGCTTACTGAGCCTCGGGCCCGTCAAAAAACAGCTCAGGATGAAAAACTGGTCCTGGGGATTGTGTCGAGATTTCTGTGGGTCGACAATATGAAATAATCATGACAGCGGTCTGGGAAGCGATATCGGCTACACGCAGGAGTGACCCTGGGCAAGGGTGGCCTTTCGCGCGCGGCTCAAGGGGGGCATGAGGGGACAGAACCCAGGCGCGCAAGCTGCTGTCAGCGCATCGCGCTCAGCAATCGGGGGCGGCCTGGTGGGCCCGCACCAAAGGTCACTCCGGCGAAGGGCCGATCTTACTGCTTGTGTGCAATCGTCGGGCTTCTACTGACACGGGTCAATGTAAGCCCAGGCCGGTCAGGCTTCGCAGGATCCTGCAAAATCCTGCACGCAAGTCCGGGTCAGTGCACCCCTTGCTCTGCAGGATGCTGCAAGATCCGGCCCTCTGACTGACCCCCTGACCCGTCGCATCAGTCCCTGAGAGTGCCCTCTCCCCATCCTCCTCCTCCTCCTCCTCCTCCTCCTCCTCCTCCTCCTCCAGACCTAGAGGCGAGCCCGGCCGTGGCCGGCGAGGGATCTCCAGCACGAGCAGCGGCATCGGCACCCGCTCCTCCTCCCCCGAAGGATCTGACATCTCGGCTGTCTCGGTGTGGGGCCCTCGGAATTCCCGACGACCCGTTCCCCCGGGGCTGGCTTCTCATTCCGAGTCGTTTCCTGACGGCCCTGGGACCCAGCGAGGGACCCCAGACGCCCCAAACGGCGAAAACACTCCGTCCCCAATGTTCCAAAGCGTTGGAGGCCTGGTGATGAAAGGCAACATGCGCTCAAACCTACAGGAAAAAGGAATGGGGGCGGGCAAGGAGATGAAGGCGCGATAGGTATGGGTGCGACTTGTCGAACCTCGAGGGGCGCTCCTGTTCGAGCGGAGACCCCATCAGACACCACATGCCCATGGTCATCCCGCGAAATCTGGGCGTCGTAAAGGTCTGGGTGCTACCTGTTAACTCATGACCTGAGGCCCAGACCCCCGATGGAAGGATTTTCTCATAACGTCGACCTGTCGAAGTCTCGACACCATCCCTGGGGCCGACTTTCCATCCCGGATGATTTTCTTGACGGTCCCGAGGCTGGACGAGGGCCCCCCGAGGCCGAAAACCGAGACACACCTTACGCCGTCACTTTCCCCCGACTCGAGGGGGGCCCCCGGGGCAGGCGAGGCGGCGTCATCGGCGGGCCGCACGGCGCGGGTGGGCCCCGCGCGCCGATCCTTCAGCGAGGGGCAGGGCGAGCCCGACGCGGAGGCCCCGCCCGCGCTCGAGACAGGCGGCAGCCCGCACAGCTCCCGCACCTGCCGCCGGCCGGGCCTCCTCCTTGCGGCCGGCCCGCCACCCCTTGACCGCAGGAGGTCTTTGGCTTTGATCCCCCCCCCCCTTTTTCACTCGGCGGTGAACAGGACTGGTCCTAACACCTCCTCCTCCGCCGCCTCCTCCGCCTCCTCCGCCTCCTCCACTTTAAACGGAGAAGGTTAGAGGCGAGGTATAAATCGAGCATGTACCGCTGCCGTGCCTGGCTCAAGCCGGGCCCGGCCAAATATATGACTGTGCCTCACTGAGGCGCACGACTTGCATCAGAAATCGGAAAATACCTTTTCCATTGACGATGCCCATCCGATCCTTTACTCCAGATCCCATGCTTCGTCTTGCACTCTTGCTCATGCGATATGAGCCAAAGCCTGGGATATGGCAACGCTTAAAGCGTAACACATACCTAAGCTTACCAGCTTGTTTTCGACTTGGTAGCGGAGCTGGCTACACTCTCGTGTGGCTGGCTCTCGCTCTGATTCCTGTAATCCACGGCACAACTTGGTGGACTACTACTACGGTGGAATACCATGTTGCGCCGGCTCTGCGAGGAGCGGAGCCAGTCCGCGATCGAGCTAGCGGGGCAACCCGCGAACTCGAGACGCTCTCTCCTACTTCACTGCGCTACTTCACTCCCGACTTCCACCAGATGCCAATCGGCAACTCGATCGAGAACGTGGTCACCCTGCGGGGCTACCCGCAGCGGGGCCACCTGCATCCCGTGCCAGTCAGGCGCCTCACGGCTACTACGCCAGAGCCTGACAAACCACAGCCTAAACCAATCACCGAAGCCGAAATGCACATGCATTGGATCAAGATAACTATATTCGGCATTCTGTGGGTAATAATGGGATGTGCTGTGGGATACATGCGGCAGGGGATGGACGACACGCGTACTACTGGCCCTTCATGGGACCCTGCCGGTACTACGCCTTTTCGCGAATACGTTCGCGAAGTACATGCATGGTTAAACGTAACGAGTGGCAATATGACACCACCACAACAAGCTGCAGCACTACAACGAGGCCTTCAAGGTCTGGCTCGTCGTATCGCCATGCAGGTCCCCTCCCAGATCATCAATTATGGTGTAACTGTCAATGGACAGCCAACGGATGCAGTAACATATATACTGTACTTACTGAGCACCAAATTTGAAAATCTGGAAGATGAGCGCCAGCTCAACTCTGGCACTGCCCTTATCGACTTCCGCGTCGAAAGGGGCGAGCGAATCGACTCAGTATTAGCTCGATTCGAGATGGCCCGTGACGAGGCTAACTCTGTTGGCTTTGTCATCCCCAACTTTCAGATCCTAACGCTGATTCTCTTCAGAGCGTTAGGCGTTGGCGCGTCACGAGCCCAACACCTGCTTGAGCCCTTCAATCATCAGATGCCCCGAACACAAGCAGACTATGACAGGCTGCTGACCAGGATGAGGAACTACGGACATGTTGCCGAGCGCTCTCCTGGCAACATAGCGGGTATCTTCACAGGGCACCACTCACATGCAGGTGTCTACGCCACGACTGCGGGGTCACCCGCTGGTCCTGGCGAGCCAAATCCCTGGGCTGACCCAGCCGATATGCCCAACGAGGCCACTGCCCTTTTAGGGCAGACTGGCCAGGCATCGGCAGAGGCAGCTGAGGCGAACGCCTGGTCGAACTACTCGCCAGGCGCCGCCTACACTGCAAGCCCGCCCTCGGGCACAACCCTCTGGGGCCAAGCGGAGTCATCCGCTCAAGGGTCTCAGCCACCCTCACCGTTTGAATCTGGCACTGACACGGATACCTCATCTGACGATGAGCACAATGGCATAGTCTCTGCTGGTAATGACTACCCAGCGGATGACACTCACCTCTCTGAACAACAAAGAGCGGAAGCCGCCTTTATGGCTTATCGCAAATCAAAACGCCGTTGGAGGCGCTTTATGAAGAAACCAGTCAGAAAGGTGAGACGTGCAGTACGCCGACATTTCAAACGATTTGGAAAGGGTCGTGGCAAAGGGGGTCGCAGACGCCGTATGCATGGTAGGGGTATTACTGCTTTCCTCACGTCCTTAACTGATATGGCTTTTGAAGAAGTTCTTATCGGAGGCAAAGGTCGGGGTCACAGGCGGACCTCCGGTAAGGGAAAAGGGCGGAGGGGCAACCCTAGGGACGCTTCTGGCAATACTATGAAGTGTCATACATGCGGTAGCACAGAGCATTTGCGCGATCAATGCCCGAAGGGGAAAGGAAAGGGATCCGTACATTTGGCTCAAAATTCTTTTATGGATGACATAGATTACATTGACTACGAGTTTTACGTCAATCCAGAAGCGGCTCCCGCCGCGGGCTCCTCCACGTATTACGTGATGGCCCGCTACGCTGAAGCAACTGTAGCCCTGGAAGACTACGCAGTGACCCTCTTCGACGAGTTCCACGGCTGGGACGAGGTCGACGAGGTCGCGTACAATGCTTGGTTCGGTCTTCCAGCGGGGCCACCCGCCGGCGACGAGGTCTCCGAAGCCGAGACCGTCCCGGCAACAGAGGAAGAACTCACCGCCGTGCTGGCCCCGCAAGTGATTGGCATGCCGTTGCTGCCAAATCCTTCGTGGGCTGGTTCGGAGGCGGGAGACGCCGATGACGAAATGCGGGGCCATCCCGCGTATTCCGACTCCGAAGAAGCCGAAGAAGATTATAAGGACATGCTCCAAGAGCAGGTCTCAGAAGCAATCCGACTCCTGAGTGCGCCAGCACATCAGCAGATAACCATGAACGAACTGCTGTCACACCCAGGAGCTGCACGTCTACGTCCATACTTGGATTCGGACATGTCAGCATCTCAGATGCTGACAGCACTCCAAGCTCTAGCGGGGTCACCCGCCGAAGAGACGCCAGACGCAACAGCGGGGCCACCCGCTTGGTCTATGGATGTATTCATGCAAGGTTGTGATCAAATGGACATTAACGACCTCACGATGGAGCAGTTAAACGACATCGGGTACTTCAGAAGCCCGTATCAAAACGTGTTCATGGTCCAGGACAGCTCAGAGGACTCGGAGGACATGCGCTACGCCAAGAGGGACAGACGACCGTCGCCTCCCCGAGACTCAGAGCATGACGATCAAAGGCCAATGGCACGCGGTAGTGCGTCAGCGGGGCCAGCCCGCAGAAGGAGCCGTTCAGCTCCCAGACGCCCTACACATGATGAATCGGGCTATCCATACAGTACTGAGCACTCCGTCGGAGTATCCGCTCAGCATGTGCCGGATTGGTACATCAAATGGTACCCCGGCTACTCGATGGACACGCTTCGCCACTGGTATTCTAAGGAGTACTGCACTAAAAGGGACGAAACTGGCGCGATAATACGTACCAAGGGTGGCAAGACCAAGACGCCAGAGGCTTGGGACAAAAGGGCTAAGAAACAGGAGATCATCAACGATCGCAAGACATACAGGAAACAAGTATGTCAGTGCGAGCCCTTCAAAGGTCACATGCGCAGGTGTCCGATGGACCGCCCCTCCAGGAGCCCTCATCACGGTGAGACCCCGTGGAATTGGTCTCATGGAGATGACGCTGGCAACGTCCATGATCCTAATAAGGAGGTCCCTGGAGGAGGAAAGCGCATCACCGAAGCCGATCGTGTCCCTATGACCGAAGAGGTGGCCAACATCGTCAGGGAAAATTGGGTACAGCTTCCCAATGACCATCGCCTCAAGGAATGGAACCGCCGATTCCATAAAGAGGCGGGGTCACCCGCTGGATCCATTAAAGAGGCGGGGTCACCCGCAGAATCCAGCAAAGAAGCGGGGTCACCCGCAGACGCGGCGCCAGCCGCTGGGTCCGCGGACGACGAGTGGATAGCTGTTGCATCTGCTGCCGGGTCCGCCGCCGGCACAGACCACACCGAACTGAATGAAGAATGGGCGGCGGAAGACGGCTCAGAGAATCCATTCCCTGATGGAAGCGCCTGCTGGTACTGCAGCTCTTCGGCGCAGAAGTGGTTTTGCACGAGGGTAATCTATCGCCATGAGAATGGCAAGTACAAGCTGGCCATAAAAGGTACTGCCGACATCGACCAGATGAGGCAGGTCATCCATGATCATGGCCAGCCAGAAGGCCCTCCTAGAGACCCTCCTGGTCCACAACCGGGCAAGGGCAGCAGACCACCTCCAAGACCTAAAGCCGACTCCTCGTCTTCACCGACTCCTGCGAAAAGGCACCCGTCCAAGAGCCCCGAAGGCACACATGGGCGGGCGAAGGCCAGAGGGATCGCCAAGACGGACGACCCTGAGCCGGCAGATCCTCCCGGTCTGTCCGTGACAGAGAGGAAGAAGGCTTTTGCTGGACCATCGACCCCGATGCCACAGGCGACCCAAGGCGATGTCAAGGACGAAGTTCGCGACAAGCCTCAGGCAGCTTTCCGAGGTGACTGGACTCCAACTCTGCATCAGCCGCGCCTTGCACCACGACCAGGTTCGGCACGAATGAAAGCGCAGCCGAAGCCCGAAGCTGGGATGAGGTCGGCGCGGGCAGAAGCGGCCGCCAAGGCTAAGGAGGACAAGGGCTCTGCGGGGCCACCCGCTAAAGCGGCGCCAGCCGTAGCAGCGGGGACACCCGCAGAAGGCACTCTCTCAAGGGAAGAACGCTTCAGAGTCCTCAAAGAATTTGGCGACCAACAGAAACTAACCGATGATGCAGCTGCTGACGAAGGTCACCCGAACCCTGGCGCGGAGTCATCCGCAGGAGCTGCCTCGCCAGCCGCAGGCTCTGCTGGGCCACCCGTTAAAGCGCCGCCAGCGGCATTAGCGGGGCCACCCGCACACGGGCAGCCAGTAATGTCTGTTCTTAGGAACATCCCTCTGGGAGCCATCGAATACTGGCAAGGCATTGAAGGCAAAGGCCCGAAGCGCACCATAAACCCACGAGTCACTCCAGACGATACTGACCGATACGAGGTCATTAATTGTCCTGATCGTCGTAACTTCGAGTGCCGCAACGACTGG